TGTTCACGTACATACAAATATATGAAGGTGTAACAGAAGTTTTTTGGATAGAAGTTTAAAAGAGAGGAGCACGGACAAACCGTAGTGATTACGGACGGGACACTTAAATATCATTACAGACGACTACGAAATACTACAAACTGTGAGTCCATGAAATTAAGACTTATAAAAGTAGTTGCACATGAAACAAATTAGACATTTTTTGATTCGTTTCGTGATGAAGCTATATTAGGAAACTTAAGAAAGTTTAAGATTTATGTTAGGCAATACGTGAAGTTGATTGAGCTATTGTTAATTATACAGAGAAAACGATAAATGCTCTACGCATGAGCGAGAATCGAAATTTTATTGGAAATTTTTAGTACTGATTAAAAGACACCAAACTGTCAATTAAGAAAACACTCTTCGCATAAAAACTTAATAAGCATCAAAATTCAAAGTAAACATACGAAAAAATTCAACTACATCACCCGACCAAACAAATACTCGCAAAACGACCGAAAAGATGGTTCACTTATGCAGTGGGCATAACCTTTAATAGCTGCAAGCATAGCTTAGGAAGCTTAGCCCGGTTATCATCAATGACACGCTTAGCGTTTAGCTACACATCAACATAGAGGAAAACACAGTGACAAATAATCCAGGTGTTCCTGGATACCCCAGTTAGCAGCAACTGAAATTGAGCAGTACAGTGGCATGGACATAAATGGTTTTTATGCGTTTTTGCCGTGCAACACTAGAATGCTGCAACAGGCAGCAAAAACGCATATTGCGCCGACTTTGTCTGTGTGTGTATGTTTGTGTGTTTGTTTGTCCGGGTATTACTACTGAATAACCACGCTAATAAAGGTTGAAGAGAAAATATGAAGAAGGGAAGAAAACGAAGAAAAAGCGAAGTAAGATGGGTAAAGGAGACTAAGGAAATATTTGTAATAGATAAGAAGTGTTTCGGTCCATTAAGTCGTATACATTTCTTACCGTTACCACAACTGGACCTCGTCAGTACGACAATTGTAGTAACAAAATAATTTAGATGGTTTAATAAGGTATAGAAATTATTTAAGATAAAAACAGACGAGAAAGAGAAGAAAGAGAAGACCGAAAGTGAGGAAATGGAGGAAATGGAAAAGTTATAAAATTATAAAATTATAAATTCTTCTCTGTTCAGTACTTGTTGCATCCATGAACTGCTTATCTCGTTTAATTAAAATATCGGTAGATTGAATCGTTCTCTAATAATTACTTATATTTATAGCTATACGTAAGCATTAAATAATACATAGAGGGCGAAGTACGTGATATTAAAAGGTGAAGTGCGTAACATTAAAAAATAAAGTAGATAATTTCAAAACGAAGGGGATAATAGTATGTGGTAAAATGGATAATATTTGAGAGTCTGTATAAATATGTTATATAAGTGTAATGTAATTTGTAAAAGTTGTTATATCAGAAATTTTTTATATTATTAGAAATTTTTTATATGTGGATAGCCAGGGTTAAATTATATATCTATACCAATGTGAAATAAGATAAGATGGAATAAATTATGGAGTAGTATTATGTGAGATTTGTCTATGAAAAAATAAAAAATGAAACATAAAATAATATTATAATATTATAAGAAAAAAAAAAAAACGAAGGAAAACAAGGAAAGGGGAGAGA